TGCATTGCAGGGAAAAGGGATAATCTACGCGCACTGTTAAAAAGATATTTGCCTGTAGACTCAAAAATAAGCACAACAAATTAATTTAAAATAAAAAATAAAACTAACATGGACAGAAAATCAAAACAAATGGAAGAAATTTACAGCGTTGGGTGAAAATAGAGAAGTTTGCACAATCATACTTTTGGTTGAGTTTTTGACCACGGGGCGAGCTCTAGTAGGCCTACTTTATAAATATATTTTTTTACTGGCTCACTTAGTGAGATTAAGAAAAAAGAATTTGCAACAATAACAAAATTGAATGATGAAACAGAAACTACGTTAATATAAAATGATAAAAACTACATGGGAGAGCATTTTCAATAACTTGAAAGTTTTGCTTAAAAAAACTAAGTTGAAACAGATTTTACGGAACCATAAGAAATTTTGTTTAAAGTGCCTCCAGTACTACTGTTACACAGAAGGACAGCTGGACAGTGTTAGTTACATAGCAAGCAAAGCTGGTTAATAAACACCAAGACACAGACAATGACACAAACAAAACTAATATCTTGATGTAAACTTGACCTCTTTAACACAAGAATTCATAAACAAGCTTTCAAAATAGTTGTTATTGTTAATCAATAAAAGGTTACATTACCTGCAGATTGCCTTGTGGATTTTGTTAATCCAGTAGGATTACGCACGTTTCGAAAAATATATTGCCATCTTCAGATCCTGAGTCAAAAAGTGCGCAATCCTACTGGATTTACAAAACCCACAAGGCAGTCTGCAGTTACTGTAACCTTTTATTGATTTGCTAAACAAGGTTTAGAAAAACAACTACAGTATGATGTCAAAATAGGTTTTATTAGAGTCATTAACTGTGAACCTCCATTGTTAGTCTTCCAGTTAGTTTATGTAAATGATATGATAGAGAGAAAATGAATTTGGTAACAGTTTAACACGTTGGGTGCTGATGACGGGAATTCCCGCATTGCTTAACATTGAAATAAATGCAATTTTCATGTTCAAACATGTCAACGGCACTTTAAGTGTTAAATAAGTGCAAACAAAGCAATTATTTTTCAGGAAATATTTTGTGTTGGATTGCATAGAACACTTGGATTGAAAGAGCATTTTTTGACAGAATGCATAAAGACGTTAGAAATAATATGATAATGATGTACAGCGGACTGATGTTTTTAGGGTGAAATCCAACTAGAAATCTTACTTTGTGATGATGCCACCCATGACCCAATTAACTTTTCTTAGGATTAATTAGTTGTTTGAAAAATAAATTTAGTAATATTTAAAAAAATTTAATGCAGTAAACTTTACAAACTCAACACCCAGTAACTCAACAGACTGTGTAACTCAACAGTCAACAGCTGACATTCACACAAAGAAGCAATTGTTTCAGAACATTTAGTTTTCAATATGAAAAAACTGATATAAGTAATAAATTTATATATAAAAATTGGTCTGTTATATTCATTTATTAAAACTAATAACAATTTTTAATGTTCTGGATAACTTAACAGCTCTTAAACTCGACAACCTCTGGGTCCACAAATTGTAAAAATAGTGAGGTTTTACTGTACTAAATGTTGCAATGTTTTAAATCTAATTTTGAAAAGGTTTAAAAGAAAATGGTTAACATTAATTAGAATCGAGAGATTAAATAGAGATAAATTCAGAGGGAAGTGCCCTTGATTTGAGGATCCTAAAATTCAAACATTACTAAAAATGAATTCTTAACCTTTCAACCTTTCTTAACCCTTAAGGAAATTATAGTAGTTGACACCTAAAATAAGACATTTCCCTCGCTTCACTCGATTTTATATTGAACAAAAACAACCAAGCAAAATAGATCCATAAATAATTTGTGGATCAATAATCACTCTACTTCCTGCACACATGTGATTTTGTGACTAGTTCAGCGACTCAGTAAAATGTGTATTAGGCCCAATTAAATCATAAACTCAAGAAACTAGTCAGGGGCCAGTTCCAAACTGGTTTTGGCTAAGTAGGTAAGGTTGGGGGGCCATGACAAGTGACTTTTCCATGACCCTGATCTGTGAAAAACAAAGTGAGAAAATGATCCGTTAGATGTCCATTGTGCAGCGGCTAATACAAGTCTTTGTTGCTAAACTCTTTTAATTGTCTGGTCGGTGGACTAGGTTGCTAGGTGAGGACAGAATAGAGAAGTTAGGTTGAATGACCTTGTGAAAGTCGCAGAATCAGTTGACCTACAAAACAGCTGACTGGTGCATCAGCTGACTGCAAGGGCACACCTGACTGTCCAATATAACCTTGCTTCTTGCCAACAGTTGGCAAACGCCTCTGCTAAAATACTAGAATTATATGTAAAATGTAAAATATACCTAACATCATCTAAAATCTTTGGGTATGACCAATGTACTCTTTCATAACTGGAGTAAAACTTTTGTCACTTGCCTAATAAATATAATTTTCTTTTGAAATGTTTGTTAACTATAATTCTAGAATTGATAGGTGATTGATATAATTTTTTCAAATTTTACAAAGAAAAGTAACTTAACTTTATTGTTTACTGTTTAAGTCCTTTTTGAGCAAATTTCTTATATAGAAAATAAGCTATTACTGTAGGTCTGATAGTAAGACCTAGAGGGGACTGATTAACTTTTTCATTTTGATGTCCCCAGAGGTGCATAGGTTTTATGGTTGCTATTCCAATGAAAAGTATTAAAGTATGGGGTAAAGATTGGTTTAACCCATTTTTTCACCCCTAAAACATAAAATTTTGCAATTTCTTTCTAAACTATTTTGTATAGCTTAATAAAATAAATAACTTAGTATTTCTTAACGTTTTTATACGTCTATCAGTTACGGAGGAAATAAAAAAGTTTAAATTAAAATTTCTTATCTTATTCTTATTGGGGATAAATTAAATTTTAGGAATTAGTACCAGGAGATGCTCGGATTTGATTAAACATTAAATTTATTAGATAAGTGATTTAGCTAAATAAATATTTATAATCTATGGTAATCAATGTGAAAAAATTTCAATGATACAAAGAAAACATTTTAATACACCTTTTACACCTTTTTAAACATTCATAGATTACAAAAAAACCCCTGTATCAGCTGTTTTTATTAACTGCAGCTACAAAAAGGTATTGATGATAACATGGGTACCTTCAAGGGCTGTAGGACTGAAACTGGATTTTTTCCAGCCTTGTCACCAACTCCAATTGATTTCTCGTGGCCAAATACTCCACAATAAACAAAAATATTAAAAATCCTTGGGAAGAAAATAAAAGTTTGTCCGTACACGCGCTTGTTTTAGACTATAGGATTTTAGTGAAAAGGCAACCAGGCAAATGGAAATTCACTTGTCTGCAGGTTATTTTATTATAGCGGCAGGGGTATATTATTTTGCCATAATTTCAGTCAAAGTTTTAAAAGAAAAGACAAATGAGGTAGAGATATTAGAGCAAGGTATTATAAGTAAAGGGAGGGTTTTTGAACCAATGAAGAGAAGTATTTTGTAGGGAGAGAGATTCCTAAACAGATGTTCGGAAACACAGAGTCTCCAGTATCACAATCAACCGAGGCCTCCAGCACATCTGTCAACACACTTTTACTAAGTGATCCATGAAACAAACAGAAGTTAGCTAAATGAACAACAAAAATACTTTAGTTCTTGAGTTCTTTCTGTATTTTTGGTGAACAAACAGCAGGAGACACAGATATATTGGAATAGTTTTTCTCACTGTGGGATTTCTCCGGGCTAATTTTCCAACACAATGCTGATTGTGCCACTGAGAACTGGAGTAGTTTCACTCGCCATTATGGCAGCAGAATACGCCATGAAAACATTTGACAATATAAAACTCTGCTTACGGGACTCTTCAGTCTTGAGTCTTGAGGGAAAGATTTAATTTGGGGGAACTTATGTTCATTTTTAGACATTTTCTTAATGATGTTCTTCATTGGCGAATCTTAGTGGATCTCAATATTTTCAAACCATTTGGGCCAAGGCATTATTACAGGAAGCACAAATGGTAACTATAGGTGATTAGTGGAGGTTTTTGTAAGTTTAGTCTCACTAGCCTATATTAGGATGTGAGCACACAACCACTGTCCTTCAAAACAATTACAGTAGCCTATCCATTTTTAATTTGGGGTTGTTCTAAAGAGATAACTATTCACCATAATTGCCCTTTTAGTTTTCATTTATAAGAAATCATAATAAATTAAAGGGGAGCAACAGCTTTGTTTAAACTACCACTACTTATTGCGTGTATCTGTAATTTATTTGCATTGATAACTGACAACAAAAAGGATGTAGGCCTACATTATGTATTAGTAGCTATACTGCTGACTGGTTGTAAATGCTAATTAATTTATACTGTAAATGGTAGTTTTTATAAACTGATTTTTTTCATAACACAAAACTATTAGGTCAAATTAGCCATAGATAAAAAATAGCTACATTTGCAAAATAATTTTTTTTTACAAATATGCAACAGATTTGTGTTGAACACGCAAATACATCAATATACAACACAACTAAGAAATGTAGCCTACATTACATAAAAGTATCATAACAGAAAACCAATTTAGGCCTAATTGTGGCATAGCTAAAGAGTGAAAATATGAGTTATGGTTAAAATACACTTAAGGAGCCAAGAAATTGTTTTTAAACTCCACCATTCAAATAATTGCTGTCAAATCACACGTTTATAATACATAGGAAGGAAAAATAATAATTTCTTAATAAAACTGTTACTGCATTTTCTCAAAAAAGTGCATTTCTGAGAAAACTTTAACCTTTTTTCACAAAAAAAATTCTCAAGCATATTTTTGAAATGTTTTATAAAGAGGAGAGCCCTGCAATTTATTCATAACCAAAAGAATGGGAAGAAATGACGAGTTTCCAAAAGCAGATTAACACAAGCGGACAAGCGTAATGTTAATGGTTGGTTCACACACATAACACACAGTCTCCCAATGCCTATAAACACACAGCTTACCTTGGGAGGAGGGGTGGATCCGGAGGTGGAGAGACCCAAGGAACTGTCAGAGAACTGAGGACTGTCTGGGGATCTCTTGATGGGGGATGAGGCTGAAACATAAAACATCACTTTAGTATTGACAATAGAGGCAAATAAGCATAAGCAACCACACCTTGATTTTTTTAAGATCCCTTCTGCCTACCCTCAGTAATAGGTGTTTAAGTATATAGATTACATACACCAATAGATACATATAATCAATTTAACAAAACATCAACAAACAACATATAAATAGCTGTTTTATACTTTATACCACTTTTTATACTTTACTTTTTACCAATATTCTGATCAATCAATCAAACAACTTATTATATATTATTTACATAACTTGATAGTTTCCGACACCTCTCTTATAATATTATGTGTTTACTGGTTACATAGTTAAAGGCATTTACATTGATCATAATCACTTATCATTGATTAGAGAAACAAAGAAAACCAATGACACACTTGCCATAACTAAAAAAAAAGTATATGAACATTTAGCATTGATTTTAGAAACAAAAGTCAATTGCGAGCGAATTAGTTGTATAGTACATAACAACGCTTTAAATATACTAAAATATATGTTTTTAAGCTCTGCTACAGAAAGGTTTGGAAAGAAATAGAAAAAGGTGTTTTTTGGAGGGTCCAAAATGGGAAAACCCTATTTTTAACCCAATCAATCCCGTTCCAATAGTTCGATCATGCTGGTTCACAAACATAGGTTTACATGTTTGTACCAAATTTCATCAAAATCAGATAATTTTTATTCAAATTATTGACCTAACGGATACACACACACACGTACATATGAATCTGAAGGGATGTTGTTTTTAGCCTATGGAAACTTTAAAATAAAAAGTAAATCAGTCCCAGGGCTAGGTCTTACCATTAGACCTATGGTAATAGCTTATTCCATATATGGGATAACAGATTTATTGAATTGGACATTTTTGATTTTGAAATTTTGTTTTAAAATTTGATTAAGTTACAGTACAGTACATTATTTACAGTGGCCTTGGATAGAACAGTGCCCTTAAATTGTGTTAAACAATTCCTGAACTTTCTAATAAACTGTACAAAAAAAGCTTTAAGGGATGTATGTTTTTTTTTTTTAGCGAATTTCCCTATAGGGAAGTAGCTATTACCGTAGGTGGCACGGTAAGACCTAGACCCGGGACCAATTTACTTTTTCATTTTGATGTCCCCAGAGGCCAAAAACACTCTTCGTTCAAATTTTTATATATGTATATGTATATATATATATATAGACTTATATATATATATATATATATATATATATATACGTCCGTGAACGCGATAACTTGAGTAATTTTTGTCCGATTTTGATGAAATTTGGTTTTAAGGTGTAAAGCGGGATAAACCTGAATGAGTTCGCGAACCAGCACGATCGGACCATGGGAACGGGGCTTTACGGGGGGTTTTATGGGGTAAAAATTGGTTTTTCTCACTTTTGACTCCCAAAACACAAAATTTCCCAATTTCTCTTTAGACCTTTTTAAAGAGCTTAAAAAAACAAATAATTTAGTATTTAAAAGTATTTTTGTTCGAATATTTGTAACGGAGAAAATTAAAAAAATTGTAAATTTAAAATTCCCATGTTATTCTTATGGAGAATATTGTCAAATGTTGTAGTTTGCTTGTTTATGAATATATTTTGATCAAACTTGGCAAATTTATTTATTTTGTACTAAGCTATCAATACAGGGTGTTGAAAATGTCTGGAACCAACATTATATCTGGTGAGTGGTTAAAGAAAAAAAAATGATATTTTGTGCACGGATATACTATGGTTTTACCTATCTTTTGGTGCCTTATGAAAATTTTTACCACTTATAGGGAACGTCCTGTGGAGGATGCAGTAATAAGTTTAAATGGAAGCCTATGGTAAATGATACATCATTTTAAAGGCCATTTTTTTCTGAGTAAGGAGCCACGAGTTTCATCTCAAAAGGACCACCCTAGCAAAAATGACGACTGTTTGAAATTTAAATAACCACTTATAGGGAACGTTCTGTGGAGGATGCAGTAAAAAGTTTTCATTGAAGCCTATGGTAAATGATACATCATTTTAAAGGCCATTTTTTTCTGAGTAAGGAGCCACAAGTTTCATCTCAAAAGGACCACCCTAGCGAAAATGGCGACTGTTTGAAATTTAAAAATTCCGTTCCCTATAAGTGGTTTTTTAAATTTCAAACAGTCGCCATTTTTTCTAGGGTGGTCCTTTTGAGATGAAACTTGTGGCTCCTTACTCAGAAAAAAATGGCCTTTAAAATGATGTATCATTTACCATAGGCTTCCATTAAGGGGAGAAGTACGCCCGAAAATAAAAAAAAAAAAAAAAAATTTTTTATTTAATATTTGTATAGTTTATTTTATTCTGATTGCAATGGTATGTAATACATGCCTATTTTGAGTTAATAAAATATAAAAAATAAATTTTGAAAAAATTTCCACACGGCTACTTAGCAACCAAACACAACTTACTTTCATACATTATGCTCCTGTTTATCTTAGCTAATTTTATTGATTTTGATAAGTTGTGTTGGCTAACCTGGCTCCTGGTTTGTTTTTCTCTTAGTCTGTATTGTCGTCTGATCCATATGTTTATGTTTGTGTTGAGGTTCAGCATTGTTTACAAATTTTATAGCAAAGGTTATGTTTTGTGCTGAGTGTAAAAGTGATGTTACAAAATGACAAAAACTAAAAAGTTGTGGAAGAAAAGAAGCTTTCGAGGTAACCAGTATGCAAAGGTAAATAGTTGTGTGCAAAATGAAGGAAATAGGCCTACGCCTGTAACTGAAAACAGTCAAAGTTTGGATCCTGAAAATCAAAGACTAAATGATTCTGTGCCTAGCATTGAAAGTAGGCCTACTCCTCCATCTGCTTCATCGAAAAAGATTGGGACAGTGCCAGATACATTTGATAGTTTTAGTGTTAGTAACAACAATATAATACTAAGTATTAACATCTTATCTCAGGCTTTGTTATGTGCCACTGCTTGTAAGCAATGTAAATCTGAGAGCTCGCTAACTTTGACAGAAGAGGAAAGTTCACGACAAGGACTAGCTTGTAAACTAGTAATTGAATGTAAGAAATGTTTTCACTCTTTTCCTTTTTGGACATCACACAAAACAGACAATTTTTTTGATGTAAACTTAAAGTGTGTTTATGGGTTGAGGGCAATAGGTAAGGGTTCGGTTTCAAGTAGGCCTCTTTTTGCTTTACTCGACTTGCCTAAACCTCCAATTAGGTTTGAAAGGTACAACAGTCTTATGGTAGAATCTGTGAGAACTGTTGCTCACAATTCAATGATCAAGGCCATAGAAGAAGCCGTAGAAAAGAATGTTAGTGATGATGGTACCACTACCAGAGATATCAGTGTAGGCATCGATGGTACATGGCAACGGCGAGGTTTTGCTTCGCTCAATGGTATAGTATCAGTTTCAAGTTTCGACACGAGTAAAATCCTCGATGTGGAAATCCTTACAAAATATTGTCACACATGCAGTACATCTAAATCAAATAAACAAAAAAAAGGCCACCACTTTTGTGAGAAGAACTTTGAAGGCAGTAGTGGTTCGATGGAGGTTGCCGGAGCCAAGAGTGTATTTTCGCGTTCTGTGGCCACAAGAAATGTCAGGTACAAATACTACCTAGGGGACGGAGACTGTAAGGGGTTTTCCACTGTTGTTGAATCCCAACCATATGGGCCTACTTTTAATATTGAAAAATTAGAATGTGTAGGCCACGTTCAGAAACGAATGGGTGGGCGTCTTCGAAAGTTGCGAAGAGACTTGAAAGGACAAAAGTTGAGTGATGGACTGAAGATAGGGGGGAAAAAAGGTAGGCTCACAGACAGTGTGATAGACTCTTTACAAAATTATTATGGCTTAGCTATTAGGCGCAACAAAAATAATTTGGAAAAAATGAAAAGCGACGTTTTGGGAATCCTCTTCCATAAAGCTTCCACAGACGACACCCCACAACATCAACATTGCGACGAAGCATGGTGCAAGTACAAACAAGCTATAAAAGAAAATAAAACATACAAGCACAATAACTCACTAGACAAGGTTATAATCGACCAAATAAAACCTATATTCGAGGATCTGGCGAAAACTGAGTTGTTAGAGAAATGTCTGCATGGCCGAACACAAAACATCAACGAAAGTTTTAACTCTGTTGTGTGGTCCAGGATTCCCAAAAATAATTTTGTTGGAAGACAAACTCTGAGATTTGGCACATTTGACTCTGTTATTACTTTTAATGAAGGAAACAGGGGACGATTAGAGGTTTTGAAAGAGCTTGGGGTCAAAGTTGGAAGAAATTGTGCGAGATTTCTTAGTGACATCGACCGATACCGGATGATGAAATCAGAAATTTCATGTGATGAGAAGACAAAGCAAGCCAGGAAAAGAACCAGGATGATTAGGAAGAAGCTCTGGGATGCTGACAAAGAAAAGGAGCAGGATTATGCAGCTGGAATGTTTTAAAATGTAAGTTAATTATTATTTTCTGCGTTTTTTGCGATTTCTCAAAAATTCACTTTTTTAGCATTAAAGTCCCATTATCTCAGGAAGAAGTAAGTCAAATTATTTCAAAATTTTACCATATACTTAGCAGGTCTAAATGCACACTCCCTACCTGTTTTAGGCTTCTAGCTCAAAAACAAAAAAATATAGAAAATATTTTAATAAAATTAAAAGTCAACTTTTTTTTTATTTAAAAAAAAATTCAAAAAATACCAACGGATATAAGAAATCGAATAAAAATGCTAGGGTGTCTTTAGTATAATATATATATACTAGGAAAAAAATTTCAGTTTCATATGTCTTACACTTTTTGAGATAATGGGTCACATACATGTATATGTTTAACATTGCGGGTATAGGCGGCGTACATCTCCCCTTAAAACTTTTTACTGCATCCTCCACAGGACGTTCCCTATAAGTGGTAAAAATTTTCATAAGGCATTAAAAGATAGGTAAAACCATAGTATAACCGTACACAAAATATCAGTTGTTTTCCTTTAACCACTCACGAG